AGCGGGTGGTGTGGAGGACGGGCCGTGGCAGCCCCCGCAAACGCCGGCGGAGGTCAAGGCAGAGGCGGCTTCTCCGCCTTTTCGGCATCGGCTGAGCATCCCGAGGGGCAGCCCTGCATCCAGCCCCACCAGGATGCTCGGGGCACCCTTGGCTGGGTTAGCGTCCGTTTGCATCCTTCTCCTGGCTGATCTGACAAATTTTGGCTGGAGCAGCCCTGGGGAGCTCTGGCAAGCGAAGAGGCAGGGGAGGGGGGTGCAGGACCCGTCTCCCGTCGGGGCGGGAGGGCAGTGCCTGGCCGGGACCGGGGCGTTGGGGACCAGCGGCTCCCCCGCCCCTGCGGCACGTCTGCGGCCAGCTGTGCGTTGTCACCATGTGTCACCGTCAGTGTCTGGACACCCATGGCGTTTTGGAAGAACACGTTGCTCTGCCTTCTCCCCATTTCCTTTTTCTTTTGCTCATTTTATTGCTGCAGTGCAGGAGCTCGTCTCTGATATTTGCCGAATCATGGCTTGCTGACCTCTCTCTCTCTCTCTGTTTATGTCTGTGCCTTTCCCTGTATGTTCTGTAGAGGATGTAGCAAATTTAACAGCCAGTGATGTGATGAATCGGGTAAACCTGGGATATTTGCAAGGTAATTCCCTTTCCCTGGGAGTCCCGCGTGACTCACGGCGTGCAGCGTACAACAAGATCATGCCAGCTAAGCCCAATCCACACCCTTGCCGGTTTTCACCTTAGATACCCGAGCCTTTCCAGCACCGATTTGTTGGGTGGCGTTGGAAAACCAGACCGTCCTGCAACAGCAGTGCAAACGCAGGGCTCAGCAAAGTCCTGGAGATAAAGACCTCAGGGACCCCTTTCTAGTTGAATTCTTACAGGGAAATCACAGCCCTCGGCTGTCGTTAAAAAGAAACCCTCCCTCCATTGCTCTGCAAGTCAGTTTTGGTCTGCAAAACCAGTGGGAATTCGAGGAGGGGATTCCGGGGAGGGGGAGGGATGGAGGAGCGCAGCGGAGCTGCTGCTGTGTGCTGCGATGAGACGCGATGCTGGAGCTCCTGCGCCGGCCCCGTCGCCTCTTCACCGCACACGTGGGTCGGCCCCGGCTCAGGGGCAAAGCAGCGCTTGGAAACCCCTTCGCAGCCTTTGGATTGTGTTCCCGGACGATTCCCCGGCGTCTGCAGACCCCGTTCCCTGACCGGGGGGGTGCAGGGCTGGGCGCGAGGCGACAGCAGCAGCCAAGTGCCACCCATGCTGCCCCAGAGCACCTTGTTGGGGTCCGTGGGAGCTGGGGGCGTTATTGCACCATTTACACCTTTCCGCAGGGGCGTGAAGTGCCCTGGGAAGGCCCCTCCTCACTGCAGCAGTAGATCAGCGATAGCCCGCCCTAGCTCTATTTTAGGCTTCGCTAGCCCGTGCTTAAGGTGAAAAGTTGGCATTTTGCTACAAACTGTGTCCTTCATCACAGAAGCAGCCCCACCTGGGGCTCACGGAAGCCCCGCGCCAGCAGAGTATATTGCCAGCTGGCCGGTGGGTGCTGGGCAGAGCTCAGACCCGGCTGCCATCTCCCCTTCCCGCAGAAGCGCTGGGGCTGAGCGAGAGCCCGTGTCCTGC